TGTATGTGTGTACTTTTAGAACATTTTAGAACATAATGTATACTTCAGGAATAACGTAATCTCGAGTACGTGCTTCCAGCAAGTTAAAAAACTTTTTAAAAATGTTTAAATGTCTTAGGGTGATCTGGAGAATTTATTTTTAAATATCAACCGAGTAATAAATTAAATCCACGAAATTTAAATTTAAAATGTTGATATATTAGTTTTAAAAATAAAAAAAAGTTATAAATTTAAGCGCGAAGTTATTGCATGTTGAATCATCAATAATTTCCTGTTTTTCTGCTTGAATTAAGCAAGTTATTTGTCAAACAAGCAAGATCAACATAAATTAATAATCTATTTAATCCGAGAGTAATTTATTAGAAGAGTTTTTAATTAATTACTCAAAGAATAATTAAATTACATTCTTGATTTCTTGAAAACAATTTTTAGAATGGAATTCTAAACCAAACTAAGTAAAAATTACGTTTGTATCGCTTTAATGTCAATAGATAAATAACAATTTAAATTTTTTCCAAAATTCAACTTTAATTGTTAATAACTATTTTGTCAAAAGTCCAATTAAAATTTTCCAAACGTTAATAAAGACAGAATTCAATGCGAAAACAATTTATGAAAGAATTATTACGATAGCACAAATTGTTTTAGTAACTATAATTAATCATTCCAAAACTTGTGTTTTTATAAAATTTCTCAAAATTCAACTTTAATTATTAATAACTTTTTATTCCCCAATCAAATTAATATGTTCCAAACGTAAATAAAAGCAGAATTTAATGCAGAATCTATTTCTGAAAAAATTATTACGATACCACAAATAGTTTTAGTGTAATCCATCAAAAAGCATAATTAATCATCGCAAGTCTATTACTCTTCCGAGTATATCCAATATCATATTGATATTAGTTGTAAACTGACCGCTAGATAAACCGCAGCTGTAATATTTATTTTGATTTCGCCAGCAAGCCACCAGCCGAGCGTGCGTAGCAAAACATCACAAATTATCTCCGTAATCATCATCGTTTCATCAGTAAATAAACAAAACGCTCATTGATCTCAAGCATCAATGCATAGCCCTTGTATACGAGTACTCGTAATCGACGAGAGTATTCTATTCACATCACGCATTATATTTTAAAATAATCGCACTTACAACATGAAATAAAACCACACCACAACATTTTAAACTTGTTTTTTGTTTATGTTTGGTCCAATCTAGATTAATTACATCCAAAAATTGCGACGCACTTTTCGCTTTATCTAGTTTTATTGATGTCAGCTGCTAATTTTTGTTAATTAATCAATGTAACACTTGAATTACACCCATTACACACCAGATATGATTAATCGTCTTATAGTTGTTTAACACTTTAGTACTAGTAAGCAATAAATAAATATAATTATAGATATTTATTTGTGTTGTAGTAAATTATTGGTTTGCAGTGACATAGACACGAGTAATGTCTTCGCGATGTGATAGTAGTAAAGCGCGTTGTCTCGCGTCGCGTCCGAGACCAACAGACGTCAAAGACGGACTGACGGACTTGACTCACTTGGAGGCATGGATGCATGAAAGCATGGAGGAGTTGGGGAGTCGCATCGGGTCCTAGGTTCGAGTTCGTGGTCGTTACAGTCTGTGTGGTTACAACGACCACGGAATATGTCTAGGAGTAGGAGTAGTAGGAGTTTTGACATCCTTTATAATAAATATTTCCAATATTTATGTGATAATTACCCAAATAGATTTTTTTAAATTTTAGGTAAAATATTGCTTAATTTCACATTATTTTATCGTCAAAATCTGTCTATACTAAGCAAAACTAAGTAAAAATAAAGTTTTTATAAAAAAACTTGTTTTACATGATTTTAAACAAAAAATACTATTTTTACGCTTATTTACGTTTTCTGCTGTTAAATTGTAATGAAAAATACCAAAATCAATAGTTATTTTAATCACAAAACAATTTCCTCTTCAAAAAACAAAATTTTCCTCCTCATGTATAATAAACTATTTAGATGTCTCAGTAAATTTACCAAAGTCATAATTTATAATTTTCATTTCTTACTTTACTATCTCCAACCTTTGTGCGCTCAACAAATACGACCTGACACTCTTGACACTCCTGTAAACCTTAACTCCTCTGACTCCGACGCGCTTCTTACGATTTTCCGCCATCTTCCTCCATCGGTATTTAACACGGAATAACTAAACATTACTCACGCGAGTGGAAAACTCGCTCACCGTTCAACAACTACTTCGAAGCATAACATCAAATAAATTCGTTTTACGACAAGTTGTAGCGTAGCACAGCGTAGCGCTTGAAAGAGTTTAATCATAACCAAATAGCAAACGTTACGAACGAATGAATATGCATTCAAGAAATAATTTCGAAAAAATATATAAAATAAATAAAATAAAATAAGCGTCCGTGGTCTGAGACTGAGACAGTCTGAGATTGAACTTCAGTGACCACTGACCGCAACTTCTCAACTTCAGAAATCCGACGCATGGCATGCTGCAAGTACAGAGTATAAATACAAATACAATGTACTGCAACTCAACGTCAACTTGATCGATATCGATGTGTTGTCAAAGATGGTGATCTTTCATAGACGTGTAGCAATATAGAATGACTTTGCAGGCTTTCCACGGCATTGCAGCCGCACAAATTGCATTTTTACACCGTTACTCCGCGGTTATTCAATATTTATTATTTTTATTTCGTATAAGACGACCACAAGACTTAATTCAATTTAATATGCAAACATTTACCTGTTCACCCGCTGTAAGCAGCAATAAAATGCCATAAATAAAAATATCTAACAAATTAAACCCGTCAACTCCTTAAACTCAATTTCGATCTACAAATCCACTGTGATTTATCGTCATGTTGTTTGTAATTACGACCTAATTAATTATGATAATCGCTTTTAATCGGACGACTTCAAACGCTTCCACAATGCGGACATTTAAAGACGTTTGATGTGTTTAAATCTAGCGGTAAAAAGTTTAACGCAAACATTTCACGATTTTACGTGCACTCTGCGCAATCTATTCATAATGCAATATCAAGATGTTTATTAACATAATGCTGCGAGGTAAATTGATAATGCCATAATCGTTCAACGCGATATTTAAATCATTTAACATTTAAATGCGGCAAATACTCAACTCGGCGGGCTATAAGACGTGTATAATTGCATTTAATCTAGATTATTTTATAACATTCGAGATTATTCAGATTCAACACGCGCGACTTTAATTCGGATTTGCATGTTTATCAATATAACGATTATGAGATAAAATCAAAACAAGCGAATCATTAATTCAACCAACGCGCAAAGCAACATAATCTAAACTAAACTATAAAATATTTTTTTGGAAATAGTTAACTAACTGTAATTTTCGTTTATTTCGTTTTTATCCTGTGGCCATTTATTTTTTACAGTTTAAAGTGTTTATTCTATACGGCGTGGAAACAAGTGAAGTAGGAAGTTAAAACTTGATCGAAATGTGTTGATAACTTGGATAAATGTTTACTTTTTGCATGTTGAAACAACTTTACCGCTGTAATAACAAGATATTGTTGATCACAAATGCGGATTAGATTATTTTGATCGATGGCCGATTAAAAGTTGAATATTTCATCAAGTCTTTGAAATAACCTGAGGAAATATTGAATTATTATGTTGTTATTGTCATGTTTCTAAAACTAAACAGAAAATTAGCTTGTTTCATGAGTTATGGATGTGTAATTTAAAATTTTACCAATAAGCACCTAGGAAATGTCATCGATGAGTTGATTTAGTGGTTTTTTAAATATTGGCTATTAAAATATTTAAATGAAAAGTAATTTTAGTGTTTTGAACGAAAAACTCAAAAAAAAAAAACAAGTAAATAAATTGTTTCTAACAAAATTTCGTTAAATGTTAAAGCAATTTTGGTGTAAAAAGTTACAAAATCCATAATTTCATGATTTATGACTGAAATTTTGTGAAATTGAACGTTTATACACTTTCTAGACAAATTTCTTCATCACAATTTGTGATATTAATGCTTTTTAGATTGTCTCTATGTGCAATCACAAAAATATTACTAAAACTTACCTCGTGAATATTCCAACATCAACATTTAACATTTTTCCACAATGTCACATAAATACTTATGTAGTTACCAGCACTTTGCCAACAATTGTCATACCAACAAAACCTAAATGACATAATGACCATCCCGAGAAAGGCGAAACAATTCCGTCTCATTATCGAACAAATATCTCATTCCGTGCCATTGTAGCAAAACAATACACCGCTGCACGCATGATAACACCTGTTAACACCTGTTACACGCATGTCGTGCATTTCTTGGCGCACTCGCCAAACCTAGCCAGTTTCGTACATGAGAGGTCACTTGACGCCATCCCAACAGCGCTAGTATTAATAACATCCGCGGAAAATATCAATTAATTACCGCGTGTATTCAATTTGCACCATCATTCCACGCATTGCGTTGCATTTAAGGAACAAAAGGTGGCTAACGGTGCGCGCTGACTGCTGGGAAATAATTCCTGTGAAAAACCACGGCGTGATGGCAAGAAGAATAAAAAATGCCGGCGGGATCATTAAGCCACGCGCATGTGATGTGCATTTGATGCATTGCGCATCTAATGCATCCTTCTCCACAGCATCGTTTTTGTAGATAGATATAGACGAATCAATTCAGCATGTACGAGTATTCAATGAGATATGCCAAGGCGTTCGCGGCAAATGGTCATTCTGGTGTATCGGCGTACGTAGATGGTCTTGTTGTGGTTGTCCGGTGCGTCAATTACGCGAGCCGCGTGCAGACACGCACTGCGCGAACGTGCGATTCTTTCAGCGGGGCGCAATTTACGGACATGCGACACGGATGCACCACACAACCGTCCAAGAAGTCGGATTGTGCTGGTCTAACGGATGGCGTGAACTCGCGGTTCACTGTAGGAAAGAAAAACGCTACTCACGTTCGTGCTCAGTTGCGACGTCAACGTCTGGACCTTCTCCTGCGCGTCGATCAGCTCCCGCCGCAGTTTGCGAATTTCGTGCGCTTGCTTCTCCTCGGCGGAGGAGTAAATACTCGACGCTGTTGATACCAAACTTATCGACGAGCCGTGCACTGAAACATTCACGAATTCATTAACATCTGCGCGCGTTTTGCATCGAAAAACGCTGATTACGACTTGGAAACTTGTCTTTCCAAGTTTATCGCAATAAGAAACAATAATTTGCATGCTAATTACAACTTAAGTCTTTATATATACCTTCGTCATTTTTAGGAACACTATGGCGAGCGTTTGAATGTGTTGGTGATAATGGAAAAGTCCTTGCTGTGCCCGGTGCTGGGCTTGTCGGCTGTGACCAATGCAGGACGGCATTCACAGGCAGACAATAGTACGGCTCGCTTTCCGGTTCCGTGTTGTTTCTGTGCAACATCGACGGATACAACTTTTCGGATTTTGTCGATCTGTAACAACAATCGCAGAGATTACATTCAGTTGACTGCTCTAGTTTAACTTTGTAAAGCTTGGCAAACTAATAAATGACGAAGCAGACTGACACAAGTAAAATGACATGTATTGGTGCACAAGCATCAACTTATTACCTGCAAAATCATCAAACAACAAAAACAGCAATTCAATTTTAATATGAGCAAAGTTGCGCAAGTTTGTTTTATGCCTGCATGTGGCGATTGCGAGAGCTGATTGTTTATCTACCTGGGGAACGTCCGCTCTCGGAGGTAGCTGCTGCCACGGGCCGAAACAGAAAATCCATGTTTAACACTTTATATCAGGCGAGATTAAAACTTTTGAATCGAACCATTCAAACAGTTCAAAACAATCTAATTTAATGTTTTAACGTAGGCAACACGCACTACACTTGTGAAGAAACAAGTTAACATAGGCAACTTTAAATGGTCGGAATAACCCGACGAGAGATTTGAATTTCGATTTGAATTATTGTTACCTTATGCTATTACTCCGTGAAAGACGTGATGGTGAATCCCTGAGTAATCTCGCATGGGTTAAACTGCCGCGATGACCCGGCAGACTCGTAAGGCTTTCCATACTGTCAGTTTCAGACAATCTTGGCGCAACGGAATAAGTATTACTAAAATATAAAAACGTATACATTAAATTTTTGAATATAAATGTAAAATAAAATATAACTTACCTGTGTCGTAACCATGGTGCATAAGGACTTCCAGCCTCCACCGCTTGAGTATCAGAAAGGGATCCGTCGCTGGCTTTCGGCGGACGTTGTCGCAGCATTAAACTGTACTCCTGCGCGGCTCCCTTGGGCAAACTCTGCGAGCCCATGAGACGTTCGCGCACAGACTGGCTGAGCTGCGTGGCCGCGTTTCCGGTCAGCGAGTAGCTCTTAAACTGGGACGCTGCTTCTAAAACCGAGCGAAAAATTAATAACCACCCAAGCAAATTAAACGTGCAGAGGTGTGACTAGCAACTAGTTTCGTGCATTAGTTGCGCCTTTAAACCTCACAAACAAAGCAAAACAAGTGTAATAAACTAAAAACAAAGCTAATTAATTTAATAGTCACCAAAAGTGGTTATGAAGTACCAACATACTAGGTTAAGTTACGAATAAAATTAACTTTGTTAAAATATACGAAATTCAACTTACTATGCGGTTGGAGATCGCTTGAGCAAGTTTGCGTGCCGCCAGACACTTTGACTTTCGTGCGAGGCACAGCGGACACCTGTGCCGTCTTGCCATTCCCATTGGAAATCGTGGGCGGCGTGCCAACTCCAACTCCAACACCAACACCATTCGTGCCGTTCGTGACCGCATGATGCCCATTCGTAGACGTCGTCGTCGACGTAGAAGTCGACGTGCTACCGCGCTTGACATAACCAAAACTCTGCGGCACACCGCGTACCTTTTTATCCTTAGTTGAAGGAACAGCAGCGCCCCCATTACTGGTTGGTGTATTATTCACACCACTACTACCGCTGTTTCCATGCGGACTACTCCTCCGTTCACGATCGCGTCGTGAACTCGTCGGGCTAGAAGGCGCAGGCGGCGGTGGTGGCGGACTGCCCACCCCCGGGGAGTCCGTATACCGCTTCCATTGCTGACCAGAAGCATTCGTGTGCTTGTCGGGCGGTGGAAAATGCGCTGGGGTGCCATTTGTGCGATGCGTAGCACTACGATGTGACCGGGGTCCCGTCGGCGGTGGCGGTGGCTCGTCGGTGGCGGCGGCGACGCGCCCCCGCCGCCCGCCCGCCGTCTGCTCGGCGAGCACCGTGAGGCTGGGCGAGATGCGTGGCGTCCTGCAAGCACAGAGATAACAGATTAATGAGAATATGCTGCGGACAACAAAAGCACGCTGGCTGAAGTTAACGAGGCCCTCGAACACAATGACAACATGTTGAACACGTTGATACACAACGTGCGCCGGCAATGAATAGCAACGCAGAGATTGCACTAGAGATGAGATGATGCAAGTGCGTCAGCCGCAAATGGGGTTTTCTTATCGCGGGGGCAAACGACCTCACGACTAATGGGAAACATACAGATTGTTCATTTTCATGCAGAATAACCTATTAAGCATGTAAATTTGAACACATTGTATGTTATGCTTAAAAGCGACCGTAGATGACTCCTGGGTGGTTGTTGCTATTAGGGGTGAATGGGAATCGGTCTTAATTAGACCTATTTAACATCCCTAGGTTAATTTAATTGTAAATTTCGTCATTCTGCTGATGTAACAGCTCCTAACCTAACATTAACACTACCAATTTCACTGGAAGCCAAAATAAAACTAAATTATAAAGAAAAATGTATAAACATACCGAAATTAACTTAATTCTTCTGTGTAAAAGCTTCCCCAGTAAAGATTCCAGTAGCTTTTGTTGTTAAAATGCAATTGTCAAACGTGCTCATTACAATAATGAGCATTTACATCCCATTTACATTCAGAGTTCGTGCCGTATTCGAATCACATTCGTTAAACAAAAGAAGGTCGCCCCGATTGCATTTTCATTCGAATGCTAATGCAATATCAATATTCCCTTTGGTTTGTTATCTACACCACTTTCACACGCGTTGTATAACTGTATAACTGGTTGCCTAGGTACTACACACTGATACATTTGAATGTAAACTACACGAGTCACGTTGTGAGGGCTTGTTTATCGTAATAACAAATAAGTTTGTGCGGCAAGACGACGCGTCGTGTTTGGGTTTCGGCGACGCCGACGAATGCCAACAGGCAGCAGGCGGGCGGACGACGACGACGACGCACGCCGAGAGGGTTCGCGGCACTACGGCGGTCGTGCAATGCTCGCGGCGTGCGCGAATCGATGAGGGGGCGCATGTACCGTAAGTACACAATCCACGGATTATTGCACCACCGCCGCGCCACGAGTGAAAGCGGTGCGAGCCGACCGCTCGACCGTTGACTCATATATGCGCCGCACGTACGAGCATGCGACGCGGCGCGGTCATAGCCTCACTTTTGCGCTCTTTCAGTCGATAGCGATTTAAATTGAACTGGGGTGTCGCACTACGCCACTTGAGGAAATTACTTGTGTTTGTTATCATGCGTGCACACTCTTTCTGAACGCCATTTTGAAAGTAAACAACTCACAACACCCACAGACGTAAATATAACCTTATAAAACTGTTTTATTACAGATTCCTGTATTGGTAAAACTTGATATACACCTGCACAACAACCACAAACGCGATTCTAACCTTAAAAATATGTTTTATTACAGATTTCTGTAATGGTAAAACTTGTTACAAAACTGCACAAGAGCCACAAACGCAATTCTAACCTCAAAAATCTTTTTTATTACAGATTTCTGCACTGGTAAAGCATCTATCATTTATTTACTTCCAATAAATTTAATCTAAGCCACCGTTTATACATCCCTCAAAATGCAACGTTATCGAAAAGTCAATTCGCTGCAGACTCCCTAAAATATTACCTATCCAAACGGAACCTGAACAAATAGCCAACCAATTTCGTTCCCTACACAAACAGGCTCATATTTTAGAATAACACTGATAAATATTATGAAGTTCACGGACGTTGTAGAAAAGTGTGTGACCGGGGTGTTGCCCTATTTGACGAAGAATTATTTTCTTGTTTGGATATAGCTAAAGCAGCTAGAAAAAGATCAAAGGATGCAATATACGTCTGCAGATAAAGGTATCCCTTTTGAAGCAAGCTAAAATAATATTTGAACGCAGCGAACACGCAAATATTTGTCGATGTTATTAAACCGAGTGCTGCTACTTGTGATAGACTATCACAAGATGGGTGTTAAGTGTTTGATAACGTCTCAAACATTGATGCAACTATGATAAATCGAGTTTATTTTTTCATGCATTTTTTCCTTTTTCAGCTTGACGCAAAATAAACTGCATTCAACGCTCGAGTAATCCCGGAATATGATTATGCATCGCAAACGCGTGCGTTTGACAGGAACTACGCACCGTTTGGCCCCGGCGGGTACTTCTCGCCGATTCGTGTAATATATTCTCACACACACATAGAATAAATGACACGAGACACGAGGGCACAGCATGACCCGACAACATAATCGCCTCGCGGTCGCAGTGGCAGCTTGCTGTTTTTTATTGTTTTCCCCATCGTTGCCATTTTGTAGGTACAGTATGTGAAAATACGCGTGTCGCGCAACGCGCACGTGGAATTGAGTTATAAACCGAGCGTGCACGCGAACTGGCGGTTAAAATGTGCATAAAATGTGTGCTTTATTGCTGAAAGCTTTCACTTTTTATTTAACACCTACGGATTTGATCGAGATAACCTTTAAAAATAGAACATTTTGAAACCAACGCCATCTATATATGAATCAAGAAAGTTTTATGTTTGAATACAAAGTTAATCTTTACTGAATTATATTTTATTTCTACTCATTGATGATTCATACAAAAAAGGAAGCAAAAACTGCTATTATGAATATGAATATGAATATACGATGTCAGGAAGCAATGTAATTACCAACTATTGTTGGATTGAAAGTGGTAGGGCCAAAGGGGCGGTTATGTTGCTAAACAATGGAAGCAAAATCAACCATTCACACAATATGAACATACGAGTCACACTAACACTACATTAAATGTTGAATCTACTGATATATAATACTATACAGCAGTATAAAATTTTTCGTTTTTCAATATTTGATGTGAGTCAAATGCAAAACAAACACAGGAAGAATAAAACCGAACTGGACTACTCGTACATTTATGTCTACAATTTCTATAGTAAATAGAGCAGAGTAGAGTGGATTATAGTGTATTGACGTTGACCATCGAATCATCACAGGAGTACATGTGCAGGGGGTGTAGGGTGAAAGATATGAGGGTGAGCAGTTGCGCGCTATACAACGCCGGCTATATTAGGCTATTGTCTACGTGCACTATGCTTACAACTAACCGATCGTTGGTTGAATAAACGAGCAAGTCAGCAAACTGAATAAATCACCAAGGTACGAGTATAGCTATACCTATTTAACTTCGGAGGTACTGAAAGTAGCTTTTAGGATAATTTTGACTTTTGGTAAGTTATAACATTAGATGAAGCTAAATTATTATATTAGACAAATTGGAAATAAACGAGTCAAAATGTATGAGTCATGGCGTATAGGTTGTCTAGAGGTGACTAGCCTCGAGGTTGGGGAAAAGAAAACATATCTAACCTTAAAAAATTAACAGGATAACCTAAGATGTTCTTGAAACAGGTTTTCCATTCAAGTTCTTGACTGACACATCGTACTCAGATAGCATTGGCGCGTACCCTCCCCTTTTTCGAATTGCATACGCGTTGTAAAACTGGTTGCCTAGGTATTAAACACTCATACATTTAAATATGAACTATTCTATTCCACGTCACGTTATAAAATTTAAAACTTACTTCATTTATAAATCAACCTTATAACCCTAGTCTGAACTAAACCAACGCATCAGAAAATATAAAAGCAAGCAAAACAATAAAGAAGTAGACGGTTACTCCTCCCATAGTCAACAAGTTGCTTGTTTTTCATTTACCACTATACGATACCAGCAATTTTCCCAACAAGCAACACCGTTTAGTGTGAGCTGGTAATTTGCTTTATTGCTTTCTCCATACAACCTCCCACTATCAATCGCTTCCACTATTTCACTTCTACTCGCGCTGTACACGTAGAGTCTAGTCTTGCAGTTTTCGTTTTGCCTAAGAAATACTATCACTTACACTCCTAGACCACGGGATCTACAAACAGTCTAGCCGCAATAAATTATCGACCTGCAACTACTCCGCGATGTACATAAAGAAAGGAATCTAAAGCAAAAGAAACTAGAAAAGGGAAGCAAGTGAAAAACTCCTCGTAAAACAAAAAATAAAGGCGTTAAAAGAAAGCTAATAAGATGAAGAACTAAAGAGGGCAAACAACAAAGGATGAAATATTGCCTCAATTGCAGATTCCAACGCATACTATCATCAAACAAACAAAAAGAATAAAAGTATTACTCAAGTTCTAAGTTCAAAGCATAGAAATAATAAAAAAAAGTAAAAATATATATTGCAAAGAACTTGTAGATCCAGATACACATACACAGATGATTCCGAAAGATCTGGACCAAAGTTGTGACCATTTTGATAAATTAGATACTATTTCGTTGCCCTAAGACGTCTCGGATGCTGGGTGATTGGTGATCGTGGAGCGTGAAGCAACGATGCAATTGCAACACCCGATCCCTGATAAATAAAAGGGCAACGATGGCAAGACACACGCCAAAAAGAAAAGGCACGGGATGAACATGAGTAATGATGCGGATGCAACTCCCGCATCAGCCGGCGCAAAGCACCAAGAAGCAATTTTCATCTTCCATCTTTCATCTGCTATCTTCCAAAGCAAAAGCAAAAGAAAAAAGCAACCAAAGAGACATTGGAGACCAATAACGAAGGGCGTACGCGAAAAGAACGTGCGTCAAATATCAAATTAGTTTCTTTTCATTCCACGCACAAAGTAAATTATAAACCAACGCGACTGAATTTATATACTTCCATAATATAAAAATGAATCGCAAAATGTGTTGGTAATCGTATAACTCAACAACGCCTTGATCAATTTGGCCAATTTTTTGTTTAAAATGTTCGTTAAAGTCCAAGGATGGTTTTTACGGCGAGAAAAATGTGATTAATTGCCGGGAAAACCCTAAAGACAGCCCTTTTCTATAGGATAAAAGTTGGCATTGAGATTCAATCATAGTTATAGTTAAATAGTTGAATCAGAGATGGCGCGCTGAAGTGCATTATTAGCAATTCTTTATATAATTAATTTCTTTAAAACAAAATTGCAAATATTATTGATAGAATTGACAAATACTATGTCTAAAACCAGAGAGTAAAAACAAATTACATTTACTAGTATATTAAACACTACCGTGACGAAGTCGCTAGTATAAAATATAAAATCTGTTGAAAAGTAAAGTGAAGATAAACGTGTCAACTGTCAAAACTGAGTGATAATAAATCACAAGCATGATTCTTGTGTTTCCGATGTTAAAGCAATGTTCTTGTCACGCTGACGTAACAAAACAATGGAAGACAAAGACGCAGGAGAGTAACGCGCATTAAAGAACAATCTCCACGTGTCTACAGATTGCCATCGGGCGTAGTCATCGCTCAAAAGTGATGAGTTGAGTAATCGTTACCTCTACGCACGTAGCACGTTGATTGATGAATATTCTACGTGACTTTACAGATTGCTAATTTCCAAATAGAAATCAAAACATAACTTACCCATTGGCGATTGGCTGATGGTGATTCATCGACATCGCAGGCATTGTTTGCAACCTTCTCGTGTAGAGGGCATTACCACCTTCGGAGACATACCCATCCAATTCACCATTTTGATGCATCGCATGCTGATGATGATTACCATTGCGTAATATCTCACCATCTGATAGATAACCATTCGCTATAGCCACTTCACAATAATCTCCATTCATACCATTCATATCTGGTACCCTACCACCTGGATACCTTGAAGGTACCGCTCTACTTGGTAGTGTCAATGTGCTGCAATACCCACGGAATAATGGCCGCATAGGTTCCACATTCATCTCCTCATCTTGCCCTTGACCAACTTCTTTGATTGGTACATTAGTTAGGTTAGGTTTCTGTCCCAATAATTGATTCTGTATTGATGGTTGATTATTACCCAATGATATATTAAAAACTTGTGTTTGGGTCTGTCCCATTTGTCCAAGAGTATTCAACAGTTTATCTTCTTTAACCTCAGGTTGTGGTTGTTCCAAAACAACCGCTTCTGTGATATACTCCAATGGTTCCTTTCTATTCGGGATTAAATTATCTCTATCGCAGCTGGATTCACTCGAAGGTTTGTAAATCACACTGCTCTCGCTTGAATTACTATGTGGGCCTGCAGTGGTCCCTATGCTGAGATTACTGTTGTTGCTATGTGCAGAATGACCACTATGCACGCTTTCAGTGAGTAGAGAATCTTTATTTTCGCTTTTTATGGGAGAAACAACACCGATGGACTTGGGTTGTGTTGGAGGTTGTAGATTCGTTGATGAGGTCTCTCTGGATATCCCCTTTTTGGGCTTTTCTTCTTCCCTTAAGACCTTACTGGTACCCTTGACTGCTGCAGTGGGTTTAGGTATCCCTGTACCAGCGCTTACAGGTGTGGCGTAGAGGTTATGTTTATCATGGTGTTTACTACTGATTTCTTTCACTTTGACCTTGGGTTCTACAAGTTTTGACCTTGTTTCGATAGAGGCTACTTTATTAGCGTGTTTTTCTACGTCTACGCTCATTTTCGGAGGTTTTTCTTTGCTTTCTTTACTTTCTTTCATTTCTTTTTTATTACTCTGTGGTGAATTTTTCGTTCCATTTGAGGTGGTGGTTTTTGTAGGTCTTTGTTGTTTCAAACGTGAAGCATTCCGTACAGGTTTGATTTCCGTTGTGGGTTCCAGACTTATAGAACTATCAGATCGTTCACTACGTGCAGAAGAAACCCCACTACTGCTACTTGTCCGTTTACCATTCGAAGGAGCAGGTCTGTCATTAGATTTGAAGAGTTTTAACTTATCCAACATGGAGTGTTCTTCTGAGGGGTTTGTTGATATGGTGAGGCTACAGTGGCAGTGGGTGGACCACGTGGGATCATTGATAAGGCTGGACTGGAAGCACGACTGGATCCGGCCACTGGGCGGACTTTATCCGGCGGACATCTTCTTGATGGTAAGGCGGATCCGGGCATCGGGATGCTGGACCCACCTTTGTGTGGTATCGCCGATCTAAAAATAAAACAAACTAAATGTTAGACATGTTTACAAGCAGCAAATTAATTACATTTCCGTTGGATGTATAATTTGGGAAATCATAGAAATTCACACAAAAGAAGCAATTTTCCTGCTTTAATGGATATTTGCTTAGTCTCAATGCTAGGCATTAAATAAGAGAAGATGATGGAAACGCAGAATGGAGAAATGTAACAAGAGGAGAGAAAATCATTGCGTGCCAGCCCACTCAAGTGAAACTATATACTATAGTGCTACTAGTGGAACATTGAAAGGCGGCGAACGTGTAATTGAAGCGCTTGGAAGCGCCATAATAGAATAGCGCGCATAGAGGCATTCGACACGCGACGTAATAATCCTCTCTGTAATAATGCATTTACGCTCTGCGTACATTACGTTTCCATCATTATGTAATGATGCTTCATTGAAGCCGCAATTGTTGAATGTAACTGTGGCCGCCATTAGGCTAGGACTGTTTATTGTCATTTTACCATTCATGTCGGCGCGTTCAATCGGAACAGTGTTAGATTTAACACTGGATTCAAGAATATAAAAATGTAGGCAACCACACAATCATATTATAGGTTATTATTGTGTGTTGTCTACAAAACACGATTTCCATCAATTGTGACGCGTTGAATAGGAGCAGTGTTTTTATTTTTTACCCCAGATACAAGTTTCAAAGATATAAAAATATAGGCAACCAAACAATCATATTATTGGTTATTATTATGTATTGGCGACAAAACACAGTGTTTTTAGATTTAACACTAGATACAAGAATCATGGATATAAAAATATAGGCAACCAAACAATCATATTATAGATCATTATTGCATTTAGAGACAAAACCATGATAAAATTTCCTCGTAAATTATCCCGTGTTACCTAAATTGTAATCGTGATAAATATAGATGGGAAAGCAATACTTTTAGAACACCATTCTCCGATTTCCCCTCATTACACAAAATAATGTACTGCCGCCCCTAAGTTGGCAACCGATGTAAAAGTGTGTAACACAATCTCTTCTTTTGATGGCCGCACGCGCGTACGATTGAAAACGTTCAAAGCGCCGCACACGCTACACCAGTGCCAAATTGCACTAACACTTATTAGATTGTACGCACACCCTCAATACCCACACATCACACATGACAAACAACCGAGGATGACGCATACGAGTTTTTTTTTCGACTAAAACAAAAGTTTCTAACAAGTTGCAGCCTGTAAATCACACATATTGCAATGAAAAAGAAGTAATTAGGATTAACGACAAAACGAAAATAAAACATTACTCGCCCGCCCGGTGTGCGCTGGTGTCTCTGAAACTCATAAATCTCTCTATATTTATATCCTACACACTCATATTTAACTCCCTCGAGGGTTGATTTGCTCGCATTTGTGAACGAAATTCAATGAACGAGCACGGAATGCGCACCGCTAAACGAATACAGTATCACATCGCCAACATCTATTATGTCGCCGAAATGCCGGTACAACACAGCAACACGATTTGCCTCAGACCGCTAAACGTTTAACTACAACCCGATTCCGATATATCACGAACAACACGAGCACGCGTGTTATTTATGTGAGTTTACCTGAATGTGTATGTTGGGTTGCGTGCGCCAGCTAACAAAAATAACAAATGCGCATGCAGTAGTTAAACAGATTACGATAGTATATAAACCTAGTAATAGTGGTTTTAATATTTTCTGTTTTCATTAGAATATCAGAAGTGGTTGTCGGCATGCAAAAACGTGTTCGACCAGCATAACATTAAAGGTGGTTCCGTGTGTAGCCATGTGAGTTACGTTTTCATTCAAGTTTCATGCTTCACGTTTCACGTTTATGTATATTTGGTTGCATAAATCAAGGAGTTATGTATTATTGACCAAGCTACAATTGTACGAGCACAAAATCGTATGTAAAACTATTTTAAACATTTTAAAACAATGTAAAAATGTCTGATACATCTTTACACTAGCGTTATTTATGTTGTATTGTTAAATAATTGATAAAATCTCTAAATTTAATTTAAATTTGATGTTAATTACACTTTTAACGCTATTTCACATCAAAACATTTTGTTTTTTTGATATTTATAAACCAAAATAATGAAAAAATACTTTTGACGTATTTATTTGCTATTGTTGTAAATAATTTAATATTTTATAATATTCTCTTGTATACCTTCGGACTTCAGGCGATGTCGGCAATGAGCGCGACTTGCGCGAACTCGTCGACGAATTATTTCCCATTGTGTCGTGTTTATTTGTAGGCGTATGTCACAGGTAATCAGAATCACATTGTCCGCATTGTAAACTTCTCAAAAATGTGTAAAATATCACGTTATCACATCTTACAAATCACAATATTATAAATACAATACAAATATAAATACTACAATTAGAAAAATTGTAAACACACGGGTTTAAAAGTTTAAATTATTAATAAATCGTTATTTTATCATTTTCACATGTTTGTAACGAGTTAAAAGTAGCACGCGTACGGAAACAAAACAGTTTCGAGCACGAACGGCCCGACACTTCTGCACTTGGACGCGTAGCGCGTGTAACTAACTGTTCCCGCGTGCGTCCTCGTCTCCACGTCGACCGGCAGCTTTATTCCTGCTGCAGAAGCTGCAGGCGGGACAAGCTTCTCACTCTCTTCACGGTTGAATACAGCAGGGGAGACAAGGTACAAACAAGTCACAACTTTCGTACACGTAAAGACAAATCGTCAAAAAAACAAAAATTTTAAAACTTTTTTAAAAACTTTAAAAACATTTTTTTGTATGCGAGTATTGATAATATTTATATTTATCACGTTTGATTATTTCGTGTGTTGTTAGCGCGACGCGCACCGAGAAACTGCATCTGCCCTGCTCAAGGGATAAGGGCTCAAGGGCTGGATAGATGGAAGCGTGCGCTGCGTGTGCGTATGCCACCCTTCTTTCGTGCACAATGCAGTTGCGTCGTGCTCCCTTTGTGTTATCAAACTGCTACTACCTCAATTCGTCGTTCTTTGTCGCTCTTATGTTTATCCCCGAAAATATCCCCGCGTTGCGTTGCGTAGATATTGCACAATGGTACGTACGTGACATGCTCGAAAGGGAAATCATCGAAATATGGATCGAACAAGCCATCACCAAACGTGGTAAGGTTATGCAAGGGAGCAACCCACTTCACAATATCTTCTTTGAGTGAGCTGAGGTCCGAGGAGCGAATTTAAAATTCAATCCATCTTCTAATATCCTGATATACGCGTAACTCAATAGAAACCGCAAGAAAATACCCTAAACATTTGCCCTTGGTGACACTCGACGTCACCCTTTTTGGGCCGTCCTTATGTCTTGGGTCCTCTCCGGATAGTTTCCAACATTTTAGATGTAGATTTGCATTTGAATGGCCGTTTATTATCGAATGACTGCACGCTCGCAGAGCATGAAGAAGAGGGTTTGAAATTTTGCATCGGACAAAAGACACTAGTGGATATTCAAAGGATGTTTAATACGTTCACTGTGAGTCCTCAACACCACACAACAGTGAGATGCGAGATACTAAATTCCATTCCGGCGTTAATTTAAGTGGTTTAAGCCTAAAAGACGACTACAAACCTTTTAGGGCGTAATAGGCGTAGACTATTTGATCTAGTAATCTATTAGTGAATAGTCAATTCTCTGGAGAGTCAAATAATCAATGTTTAATTAATTTGAAAATATTTACTGGAATGTTTGATGTTTGTTGTGTAAACATTCTGTATGCAAATCCAAATTGCAGCTTGTGTTGGCTGAAAATAACGCGAATCGATAGAGAAAACATGATGAATATAAATTGGTCTGCAAGCAGACTGGACGCTCCTATGTGCGTTTACGGTTTGTCTGGACCATGCAATAAATTATTCAATCAAAATAAACGAAAAAGTAATTTCTAGTAGAAGTTAAATGTCATTTTGAAAGTTTTTACGTTGAATTGATCTAATAGTATATAGGCAACCAAGAAAACATTTCTGCAATATAAAGTATATTCTACAATATAAAATTGAATCGGAAAATCTGTTGGTAAGCGCATACCTCAACAACGCCTAAACCAATTTGGCCAATTTATTTTTTAAATGTTCGTTAAAGTCCAAGGATGGTTTTTACGGCAAGAAAAATTAGAATAATTGCTGGGAAAACCCTAAAGACAGCCCTTTTCTATAAGATAAAAGTTGGCATTGAGATTCAATCATAATTATAGTTAAATAGTTGAATCCGAGATGGCGCGCTGAAGTGTATTATTAGCAATTCTTTATATAATTAATTTCTTTAAAATAAAATTGCTAATCTTATTGATAGAATTGACACATACTATGTCTATAACAAGAGAGTAGAAACAAATTACATTTTTAGTAAACACTACCGGGACAAAGTCGGGGGCAAAAGCTAGTAAAGTATAAATATAAAATAAAAAACTTAATATTTCGAAGCAAACTTCTTAAAAACTTTAAGAAAAGATAAACACTTTATAATCCCATAGATCCAATAAATCCTTTACTTAATCGATAGTTGCTTACACTAAAAAACTTTCCTGTTGTTTTCAACCGAAGCACTATAAAAATATTAAAAATGTGTGTGTGATGTGTTAACTTTGAAACTTTTCCGCGTCTTATTGCGCCTTATCCTCGACTAAAGTCAGGAAATGATGCATGATGCTTTTCCAATGAAAGCAAACGAAAAATTCGTAAGAAAAGTTTATTGAAGCGGAGAAGTTTCGGGTGTTGGCGGCTTTGGTGGTGCGATGGTGATTTACGATCGAGGAAAGCGAATCGAAGTAATAAAGATTATTTGGCAGTGAGTATAGAATAGATAGGGAATTCCCGTCGAGTCACTAAACCATCGTAACATCGCAACTGTTAATGTGATTGCCACAGCAAAAGAGAACAATAAATTGCCGAAAGATTGAAAAGATCTCAATCAGGAATCAACACCGGATATCTAAAGTGTCAACGTATTG